TTTTTTTTTACTGTGGATGTCCGTCCTGTGTTGTTTGTGTTATGGAGGGTGAATGATGTAGGGGAGGTACAGAGCTCGAGGCCTTTTCCACTTCAAAGCACCTCAGTGTGTGTTTGTGTGCGTTTGTGCGTGCATACATGCGACAAGCTTGAGCAAGACAAGCAGAGCCAGTACAGTGAAAAAATGCACATATTTCTACTGTTGGAAGTTCAGGGAAGGCAGCAAGGAGCCAGTAAAGGTAAGGAAGCCATTAGGACACTATAGGCAGAGATGATCTGTGAGAATCTGAAGTAAAGGTGAGGATAGTGGTTGTCAGAAGCAACATATTCACAAGGACTTATTTCTGTAGACGTGTAGATAAAAACCACACTAGCAAATTAGGGTGTAAGCCAACAGAGCCGAATGCACACACTGTTGTGTTTGTATTTGTGTACACGAGAGGGATAAAAAAATCTGTTATAACTGTAAGGGAGATGAGAGAGAGAGAGAGGAATAGAGGTGGAAAGAGATGGAGAGATAAATTGAAAAGTTGCTATTTTTAGCGCACGCTCAGGAGACCATTAGACCTATTGTTGAATTTTGGGTTTTCTGTGGTTTTAGGAAAGTGGGTGGCTGGTTGCATGTGCAATGAAGTGCATTCATGCAGTTATTTGATGTTTTGTAGTGCTGACAGATTCTGGCACTACATCCAGTGTTGTGGTGATAAGTTTGTTTGTTTTTAGAACTGTCTATGTGTGTGTGTGTGTGTGAGGACCTGCATGTGTGTGTGTGTGTTTCGGTGTATGTGTGTGTGTGTGTGCCTGTTGACTCCATTAAGGAATCAGACCGCAAGCACTTTTGTTGTCTTGACTGGTCTAGAGGGTCTGGCCCCCATAATGCAATGTTCTCATTATTTAGTCTTCATGGTCTGCAGTGCTAGAGGGGAACCATCCTGAGCAGAAACAAAAGTACCTCTCTACTTGGCTTTATCTTGACTAAGCTTTTAGTATGTGTGTTTTTTTTTTTTCTAAATTAAGATGTTAAAGTACTGTGCATAAATATACAAAAGAAGCAGAACAGAACCACTGTTGAATTTTTCTCTTATTGTAACATAGACCTTTACAGAAGTGGAAGGTAGAGAGGGAGCAGTGATATAATGACTAATGAAGATTTGGTTATGAAGAGGCAGAGGGTCAGAAAGGGGACAGTGATGAAGGACAAGAAGGAGAAATTAATTAGAGCTGAGAAAAAGGAAGAGTTGACCCTGTTCACCTTAGAGAGTGCATGGAAGTGAGACAGAAGGAGGAATATAAAGCCGTGGTTTTTAAAAAATAACTAGGCTCTTGTGTTAAAGTAAAGGGGTTCAGAACATGCGTGCACTGTATACAGACACATGGATATCTAAATTAAGCTGCACAGTCCACAATGCCGACCACCAGTAACACTTACAGAACTAGTTCAGTCTAGTTGAGGTTTGTATTACTGTGTAAAGGTAATGTACAACCTTTCCAATGAGGCAGCTTGATAGCGTAGAGGTGTAACAGTTCATTGACAGCACTTATGCATTGCATATAAATCCTGCAGATTCAATTGAACTGATTTGCTAAAATAAAACAGAGTTATTTACATTGGGATGCATCAGTGTTGTGAAATGCAGGTCAGTAACTCTGTCATTGTGTCTATTTCCTTTCACGGGTGACACAGGAAACTGCATCTCACAAACAAGCCTGGCTGACAAGTGCAAGGTGTAAACGTATTTTAGCTGCTTCAAGAAATATTAACAGCAAAGAAATACTACAGGAAGATGATTTATGCAACCACATTTCAACCGTCAGTGAACCATTCTTACATTGTGTGTTTCTAACTTGTCAAGCGAGAACGCACTTAACCCACTTAAAACAATGCGACATTTGCTTCAACATTTATACCAAAGGCAAACTGAAGCAGCACAGTACAATATAGTGCACTGTAGTACTGCATGTTTATAAAAATACTTACACACCCATTCACCCCTTTACCTATCCAAACTCCCACACTCACTTCCTGCCCTGCAAGTACTAAAACATCAAACTTGGTACTGTCAACATAGCTCCATTACTACTGCAGCCGTCACTGTATTACCGTTTTAATGGTTATACAGTACAATACGCACAGAATATATAACAATAGTGCAATCAATCTGCTCTCGACATGTAAGAGTGAGAGGTAATTGTGTCCATAGAATGATTGAATGGTACACCAAGGAAAACAGTTGTGAATTTCACTCTTTAATTGAATTTGATATATCCTATTGAGATTTGCACAACATTAGAATGTGCAAATCTACAACATGGGGCTTTAATTGGGTGGATAAGACACTCTGTTCCGCTGCACTGTGGGATTTATGCTGATAAAATGTTTTTTTTTTCTCTCCTCTATTTCCCTCCCTTCCTATTTGTTCTGGCATATAGAATTGAATGAGTCACACACACACACACACATACACAGAGAGAGAGAGAAACAAAGAGAGCTAGATAGAGAATATTTTGTTGAGTTACAGTAAATCACTAGGGGCCAAAGCTACGTGTGTGCAGTTTCAGACTGTATTGTGATAATAATAATCCACTATTAAACTAGTAAAGGAATAGTAATTAGTAATTGTACAACATCCAGATTGTGGGGACAAAAAACAACTGACACAGTCACATTAATAAGGTGATAACCACATGGTTAACCAATGTTAGGGTACGTGCTGGGGTTAAGCATGCTGTGGTTATGGTTATGGTCAGGTTAGGTCTCCAGAGAATGAGTGTCAATTCAGTGCCTTCCCAAGAGTGGCAAAAACAAGTGTATGTGTGTGTGTGTTTGTGTGAGTGAGTGTTAGTGGTGTGTATGCTGAAAAACAACAAGAAAGGAGATAGATGTGAGAATGAGAACAGGTTATCGTTGTGACTGAATAAGAATGCTAAAACCAGAACTGAAAGTAAACTATCGAATGAGATCAGAGAACGAGAACACACACAGCTCTCTATTTCTTAAGCTCCTTTTACATTTGCATCATAAGCCAGCACCCTTTGGGTGTGTCTCCTTGTCCTTCTATTAAAAGCAGGCAAATCACTCACCTCTCTGCAATCCTTATTTAGAGTGTTGACACACACCCACAGGCAATAGATTGAACCATTTGACTAAATGTAGGAAGGTTTTGTAAACCATTTTGGTAAAGAGTAAATCACTTTGTTATGTGGGACATTATATTATTCTTAATCACTATGATTCATATTTGCTATTGTCGACAATGCAGTAGGCTTTCTAACTTCCTAAGTATCACATTTTCCCAAGAAATCTCACAGAATTTTCCCGGAGTGGTGATGATTTAGCTTTTGATTTAGCTCCAAACTGTAACTGCAATGTCAAAGCCATAGTGCATAATGTGACATTCGTAGTTTTTTTATTTTAATAAAGTCTCTAGTCAATAAGATGCATCTTATAGTAAATTAGGTTCCAAAAGGGTATATTTATGTATTTCTGTATGCAAGGCAATGCAAACTTTACAGTGGCTGCTCGTAATTTAAATCTAAAAGGATTTTTTTCAAACACAAGCCTGACATTAAACCCAACTTTACCTCACTGAATGTCAATATTTCCACTTCATATTGCGTTTTCATGACCTCAACATGAACTCTAAAAAATAAAATACTTCTTTGACAATTGCTCAGCCTATTCAGTTGATGTGTTATTCTCTCTCTTGTAAGTGTGTATGCCACATACATAAACAAATCAGGTGAATGTACAAGGACAGTGTGATAAGTAGCACACGCACTCACACACAAAGACACACGGGCCCCTTTTTATGCAAATGACAGCATGGAGTTGCTGTCATAACATCAACATTACCTTGGTAAATAAATGCATGCTCCACGTGCTTGTACTTGATGGTGTGTTGCTGTTTGTGTTCCCAGAATTCCATCAGTTTATTTCATTTTACAAAGTTTCCACTCAAAAAGAAAAACCTAATCAAAATCAATTCCTCATTCTTTCTCTCTGTAATGCTTTCTCCTAAAGGAAGTGGAGGTTTGTACGGCTGGTTAATAATCTTGTATCTGTCATGTATTATTTACTCTTGATGTCATGTGAACAATATTGTTTATGATTTTTGTTTATTGGTTAACCCTGTTTCAGGAGCCTGGAACATGGACTCCATCCAAGCCATTCGATCAAGGTGGGTGTGAGGAAGAGAGCCTCGAGTGCTGTTGACTTTGTGATGAAACAAAAAAAAACACTAGAAAGGACAAAGAGAACTCATACCTCCTCTGAAGCTGAACACATCTTTAAATGTGGTAGTTTATTAATAGAAAATGTTTAGTTAAAATGCTTAATCTGCATATGGATGAGTATCTGCAGCAATACCTACAGAAAATTAGGTAAGAATATATTAAGTAGGTATTAGAGTATTAGGCTCTTGTACAACCTGTACAAAAATAAAGGTGTCACATTTATTGCGACCGGTTTATGGCCAGATAAATGTATTATGTTACTGTAACGCAACCAATTAAACGTCATCAAATTGTGCTGGATGACTCAAAGTTATTATGTGCATGACATCTACATTTGGTTGCAATTGCACTACTATTCACGAGGTACAATATGGCATAGGAACATAATATGACATCAAAACTCAAATATAACATATATTCAGGGTCACTGAAATATGTATCAAACCATATTTATTGAAGACTGAAGGATATAAGTAATGGTGAAAATGTACTGTGTCTCAATCCAAGGAGCTCAAGAGACATTTTGCTTCAAGAGTTTAGCAAAAAAAGTGCTTTACAGATGGCCACATGGTCACACTCTCCTCTCCACAAAACAAATCACTTGTTCTTGGGTGCCTTCCCTAACTTTACACCAGAATTTATGGAAATTTAGTTTGGAAATATCCTGCTATAACTAACAACAATCCGGAGTAATAGCTCATTTACCTTGGTAAAAATAACTAACATTACAGCATCATTATAGGTGTTTACGCCCTTACAAAAAATATATTTCTCAGTTTAATTTAGTCTATTCTCTAAAACTTAGACCATCAGCTCATGTAGTTTTTTCTGAAAACCTTCGTTAGACTGATTTTAACATTCACACTACTTACTGGTGAGTGTATAGTGTGTTATTTCCAATCTCCAACTCTTTTCACTACACCGACTAGTTGATTATATCTTCTTTGATCATCATTCATTCCCCATTGTATTAACAGACAGCGATAAGCTTATACACACATGCAGGCACACCGGGAACACATTCACTCTCACTTATCACTGTATCCTCAAACACACTCACACACGTATATCCACACAAACACACACACACAGACATGTCAGGGAAACAATAGCATTAGATAGTGCGTTGGAGGATGGAGGCAGGATAATCTGCCAAAGCTGCTCAGGGATTACAGTAAGGTTCTTTTAGAGCAGAGGTCATTAACAAACTGTTCTGAGATCAGCCGAGGGCCTTAGATCCTGCGCATAGGTGCCACGCTGAAGGCTGACAAGCGGTCAGAAACAGCTAGCTTGTCTTTACGAACAAAGATCACACCGTCAGCCTGAGATTCAGATCTAAAATCAGCTCTCAGCGTAAAAGCCAGATAGGGCCCTCAGCTGTGAGATCTGATACCAGATCAGTTTGAGGATCTCAGAAAGAGTGCACATGTGACTGGCACTGTGTGCAGGCTGGTATAAGGTCAGAAATAGCCTCTGTAACCAGTTCCATCTGTTTTTAGCTGTAAGGATACTTAACAGTATTATGGCTTTGAGTTCAGCATGAGAGACACATTGCCAGTAAGCGAAGAGACAGTGGCGAGATTTAACACACACACACACACACTCACCTACACACACACTCAGCCCTCAAACACCTATGCACATAGCTTGGATCTGTAAAATTTAAAATGAAGTCCGTGGTTTAACACAGAATCATTGATCTAGGATTTCAAAGAACAAAAGGAAAATGTAACCTTGGAAGATTTTCTCTCTGTTAATGCTCATGGGCTTAGTCTTTCTAGGAAGCTCTTTGAATAAAGAGGCTGTGTTTTGGTTGCACACACATATACAATGCACATGCACACTTAAAAGAGTTCTAAATCTTTGTCCCTGTTTTGTGTTTTTAGGCCTTGATCCAGCCAAAGACCCATGTCTTAAGATCAAATGCAGTCGCCACAAGGTGTGTGTGGCTGAGGATTATAAGACTGCCTCTTGTGTCAGCCAGAGGAGAGTTAGGTAAGGACACACACACTGGCATACACACGCACACATACACTTGCCCTTTCAAACAGGCGTAAATTTCAAAGCTGTCCCTCAAATTTGCATTCAGATGTTTCCGTGACAAATCCAGAAATGAAACAGTGGATTAAGAGCGAATCCAATCTCTTTTTATTTCCCATTTCTTCTCTCCTCCCTCGTGTTTTTTTCCCGCTCACTTATTCATGCAGCATGATAAGCAACAACACCGGAGGGGTGGCTGTTTTTCTATTCTTCCAGCTGGTCTACTGGTTGCCCGGCTCTCTTGTGACATTACTTTTTAGTCCAATTACCCCAGCGTTGGCACCACCTTACAACGGACACAAAGTCCTGCCAAGTGATATGAATGGGCTTTGTATGTGTGTGTGTGTGTGTGTGTCTGTCTGGGACACTGCAGACTGGACAGAGGACAGTAACGCCATACTGACCTCATTTCCCATTCTTAGCAACAACACAATTACCACTACACAGTGTAAGCAAATCAGAAAATAATCGCACATAAATCCTAATCCTTGTCTCAATTCTGAAATTGATGTATGAACAAGAAAATACATCAGGGATACAAAATGCTTGGAGTAAGGGAGGATAAACAGTGCATTGTGATGGAGACTATGTCAAAATGATGCATTGTTTGAAACATTTTCATATGCATTTAGTCAGAATGTTAGTGTATGTGTGAAAATAAGTCTTTTGAATCTCCTCTGTAGTTTTAAAGATCCCAGTTTGTACCAGAGTCCGGGGTCAAAGTGCAAACCCTGTCCTGTGGTCCACCCCGCTCCTGTTTGTGGAACTGACGGCCACACCTACTCCACCAAGGTACTCCACACACACACTCTCTCAACCCTAATAGAGACATTTGAGTACACATGAGTTACAGTTCCTCTTGAGGAAACTCACATCCTGATTTTACTTCCTTCTTCTGTCCCACTCCTTCTGTCTTTGTCTCTTCCGCTCAGTGTAAGTTAGACTACCAGGCGTGCATCACAGGAAAGAAGATCGCTGTAAAGTGTCCTGGCTTGTGTCCTTGCCCCTCTCAGCCTGAACAGATCTCTGCAGAGAAGAAAGGTACAAGGTTCTGCACACATGACTGCACACTGCACGCTAGGATACTTTGCAGAAGAAACTGTATATTCTCCCCGAATGAAAAAGTCTTCCATGGTGTCCAAGCACATGTTAAAAGCCCCCTCTTGACACGCTGAAGCCTTGTGTCTTTTAGCATGACACTGAAGTTTCAGGGGAGCTGTGCTATTGCTGACTCTAACTTCTCTACTCCACAAGGGAGTACAGAAGAGTAGGGAGACAATAAAGCATCACTTTATCATCCTTAATCATTAGTGTTATTGTTCCTCAGTGTGCAGTGAGTTGGAGCTGAAGGAGGTGGTGAGCCGTCTGAGAGACTGGTTCAGAGTGCTGCATGAGAATGGCATCCACAAGAGAGTCAAGATCCAGAAGCCAGAGAAGAACAGTAAGTCACGTGGCATTAACGAAAATCATTTCTTCATGCACCCGGTTGCATCTGAACTCATTTTTGAACCTTTCCCTACAGAGTTTGAGGTTGGGGCGTCACCCATTTGTAAGGACCCTCTGGGCTGGATGTTCTCCCGGGTGGACACAAACTTTGACCTCCAGCTGGACGAGGCAGAGATCAAGAGCCTCTATCTGGACAGGAACGAGCCCTGCTCCGATGCTTTCTTCAAATCCTGCGACACACATGCCGACGATGTTATAACCAGCTCTGAGTGGTGCACATGCTTCCAGAGGTACACAGGTACGGTATCTCCATGCACTCATACGCAAATTTATTAACAACTTTATTTAAGTGTCCACTGTAAACAGACTGACTTTCTGATTTAACTTTGACCCACTACACTTAGAGGCACTTAGAGGCTCATACACCGTTTTTCTGTGATTATTATCAACATTATGGGTGCACTTTCAGTTTAAATAAAGTGGTTAAAAAAATGACACAGACTTGTTTACAATTGCCCCTTCACATTTGTAACTAGTTCCCCAATCTCAGTAGCTACTTTGGTGAGCACAGTGTTATCATAGCTGATAGAAATGATGGCCAAAACTCGACAACAGCAAGACCCAAGCTGTAATAAAGCATAACTTTTCTTTAATTTATAAACTAACTTCTCCAAAAATAATAATAATAATAGACACTTTCCATTCAATCACAACGACATATTCTTCATTGACATGTACAAAATACATTACTGTAAAAAAATTGCAACACAATACAATACAATACAAATGCCACGGTATGAGACCTAGGAAGAAATTATATTTTTGCACACACAAAGAAACTATGTAAAGTATTTAAAAGATGAGTCTCCACAGCCGCACTCGTACAAGCAAAGACAGCAGGATAACAAACATCACTACGGAAGCAAAAAGTACACAAAGGAAGCGAAGTTCTCACAGATGCATTCCCAGAAAAGCAGACTTATGCAGTTTATCACCAAAGTCCCTTGTCTCTTCTTTTCAGATTCCCCTTGTAAAGCAGAGCTGTCCAGTATCAACAAAAAGCAAGCGGGGAAGAAACTGCTTGGTGAGACACACTCTCAAATACGCACACAAAAGCAATACACACACAAAAACAATGTGTTACCCTTTTTCATTGTGTGCATCTGTGTGTTTTGGCTTGTATGTGTAGGTCAGTATCTGCCATCCTGTGATGAGGACGGTTACTACAGGTCTCACCAGTGTCACAGCAGCAGCGGCCAGTGCTGGTGCACGGATCGCTATGGCAACGAGGTGGCCGGCTCACGCACCCATGGCCCAGCAAACTGCGGTAGGCAAAACTCTGAGGAGTGTCATGTGTCTGTGTTTGTGTAAGAGAACAAAGAGTTGATTTGCAGCCATAGTCATAGTCAGTCTTGTCACATCATTACCGACTAACTATTTCCCAAAACTATTCCTTTGATTTTAAGATTTGGTTCATTCTCCGTTTCTAGGCGTGATTTTGGAGTCTTCAGGAGACCTCGGCAGTGGAGACTCGCTGTTCACTGATGACGATGAAGATTCCTTTGTCCTCAACGACCAGGCCGGGATGGACGACGAGGACGACGAGGACGAGGATGATGACGACGACAACGACGAATATCTGTCGTAATTTTGAAAAAGAAAACACAAAAAAGAAAAAAGAGAAAACTGTTTGTTTGGTCAAACTGCACGTTTCTAGGTGACTCCCCAGGCAGATACTTAATCGTACTAACAGCCTATGGACTACTCTCTGTGTATTGTTTGTTCATTAGTAAGAAAAAAAAACCAATATTCCTGGCAAACGTTTATGATTTCTCTTCCTCTCTAAGTATAAAATATGATTGGTTAATGGCACTTGTTCACTTGTGTGTCAGCCAAACAGAAAACCTGACAAGGACTAATCAACAAACCAATCCAGTGCTTTGGATTTGGTCACGTGTGCAAAGACCTCTCCCTTCATTGGACAGTCCATGTCTTCTAGTGTATCCTGTCCATGTGCAGCACTCCGATGCCTGAGTGTGTTGATGCCTGAGGCGCAATGTTAAAGAGATTTCCCCTTCATTCCTTCATCCTCATACCCCCCCCCCAAACACTTTTACTCCTTATCAAATGTTCCTGTGTATAGGTGGGATGTTGATGATGTAGATAAGAGAATATTGCACTCTTTAGGTTTCTTTTGATCTTGATTTGTAACTGTGACTGTAACTGTGTGGAAAAACAAGATAAGAGTTAGACATGCTTCATTAGGAGAATTAAGGCTAAAAAAAACAGTGTGAGTTGGATAACAATCAGAACCGACATGCTAGCTGTTTTCACGGAGACACAAATCAAGTCAAATCATCTCAAAGGCTCAGCAACAAGGAAAGACAAATTACTGCTTGGTCGGTGGTGTTGGGGGGAAAATATTATTATCTATTTTTCTAATCCATTGTTGGATGAATACAGAAGATGAAACAGATTTGCCATAGCATGTCTAATACTGCGTGATGTTGTTTCAGTCTGTAGAACCAGAGGCTAAACCTTTTGTGGAGCTCAAAATATATATCACGGAGGCTTGAGGGTGAAAAATTCCTTCAAGCATGTACAGATGAATCTACGCTTACTATAGTTATAAACTTCTTGAGCCACAAGTCTGTGTGATTAAAAAATGTTTACTTACCTTTAATACATCAGTGAGCTCAAAGAAAAACTCATAGCAGCTCACGTCACAACATCAACTCCAAAGAAAGTGTTAAGAGCTTGATGTTTTTCAAGATCTGAGTCTTGGAATTTAAAGTGATTTGAGCACACAGTGTAAAACAATAAATCTCTTGCACAGTAATAAAACCACGGAGTCATGCAGACCTGTTGAAAGTGTCTGGCAGGGGATAAAGGGTAAGGTGTGCCTTTTACGGGTGAGGACAGATGGTGGGAATAGTGGGAGAAGCATGCTTACTGGACTAACTTAAACTCGTCTTGACACTGCGTAAGAGCGGCTTTACTGTCAAGCTCGGAAACTGTTTGGGTTTTGGTATGGCTTGTGTTTTGGGTCTCTCTTATGATGGTGTTACATAGGCCATATTTCAGATCTTTTGATTTGATTACATAGGATAGCTAGAATGTAGAGAAGCACAGATATATTTAACAGTTAAGGCATAAAAACACTTAGATTCTGCTGGATTTGAAAATGGTTTATATATTAGTACACTGGTTAGGGGAAGCCTTGGTTTAGTCAGCTTTATATAAAAGAAGATGATCATTTTACAGTGTTTTGCTTTTACTTTGTTTCAAAAGCTTGATTTGTACCCGATCTGCTATAACTACTTATAGTGTATATCTGTCAGGGTTGAAAACTGAAACTGATCCCAGATTTGTGTATTCTTGATAAGTCCTGTAACTCTTTATGCAGACCTGGGATTTGCTGAGCTCCTATGTTAATTCTGAATTATTAATCTGCCGTCAGGCTTCATTTTGATGAAAACATCTGTTGAAATTCCACGTTAAGACCTGAAAAGTGCCATCTAACTGTCCGATAGTTTTTTTTTCCCCCTCATTCCTTTTAACTTGGAATTTCAATTCACTTTACGAACTGGAAAGCATTTCAGTTTTAAAGTGTGCTGTTTCATGAGTGTGATGACATGCAAGTCATTTTGATGACCTCAGACACTGTAGCCACTCTCAACCAATCACACACTGTCATCACAGCTCTGATAGTGTTTTAAGGTTATGATACAGATGCATTTTTTACAGTGTATGTATGATTTGCTGAAATAAAAGCTATATTGACCAATGTTTGCTTGACCGTGTAGTCATGAGTGTTACTTGGAGGACACATGTGAATGAATGTATATGAACTCGTGTTTCCATGTGACCAAGTTTCTGTTCCGTGGTTTTTGTCTCGGTTCTCTGTTTGCGTGCTTATATTTAGGAAAAGACAGACAAGTCGCCTATGTTTTGTGCTATAGTAGTTGAAGATGTGTAATTTAATGAATATGAGGGAACTGAGAAAACACAAGTTCACAGGTGTACAGCTGTTCGAATGACACATCTGCCATAAGTGGAAGTTGGAAGTATTCACACACCATTTACAGCCAGTTTAAAAGAAGAGAAAGCGGACGGTGGGCAGGAGTGACAAACTGCTTGTTTATAGGCAATGAGTTCTGTGTGCAGGAACATTACTGCATTATGTAGGAGAAGAAAAGGTGAATATTTTATGAGCTGCCGCCACACCCACACCATGCATGCATACACACAGCCCATACAAGCACACATAAACACATGTAGAGCAAAACATACACTAAATGAATTTGCACAGGGAAAAGGCACATCCAATGACCTGGAAACGTTTGTTTTCCTTTTTTCGGCCTGAGTACAACTTTTTTTTTTTTACACAGCCCACCAGTGTAAGCGGGCAGCAGGAACTCACACAATGCATAAATCAGTGCGTGTGTGTTGGCAACGGGACCCATCAGCAGCTCCAGATACGGAAGTCACTGGGTAAATATCAAATGTTCACTTTTCCTTTGCTTTTATGTGCTGACCATAGAAATGTGAAGATACCATCTAATTTCCACACAGCAGAGCCAGTTGTTGGAGACCATCCAACAATAAAAAGTGATCTGCCAGTGTATGGGGAGACAGTATGACTGAGCACTGATGGGAAATGCCTCAAATTGCAGGAAGCACTTATGATCTTCTGAAATCAGGTTTCTTGAATAAGCAACACTCTCTGACGCAGGTTCTTTTATCACTTCCACTCCACTTCCACGCTGCATGACGACATTTGTTTTCTTCAACATAATATATTTCTATTAACACAACAAGTATATCGAAGCAGCAAAATCATCTCAGTTGAATGTGGAATGACAGGATCCATTTAGTTGCTATTTCTGAGCTTTTGACCATATCACATGATCTTCATCAACAGATGGGGTCGTTATTAAGTCAGTGCCATTTTTCCACCATAGAGCACAGGCCTACTACACAATACACTAGAGAGGTATAATGACTGTCTGTGCATCTGTGGCTTGAGAAAACTAAATTAAACACCTGTATGGGTGTGTTCTTTTCCTCTTATTTATATGATAATCATGATCTGTTGTTACTTTCTATTTGCTTTTTGAACAACTTGACTCTCTGTTTGCATGTCAACAGCAGCATTATTAGCTCTTTTCATTACTGAAGTCTTGTTTGTGTTCTAAATGTAAGCAGCATTGAAAAGGCCTTAGCTGAGCATCCAGAGCAAGCTGCTGAGGATGCAGTATGGCTCACCGTAATGGGTAAGTCACTGTTGGTCAATACACTCTCTGGCACACGCAAACGCGCTTAGCAGGCTCATGTTACTGCGTCTGAGTCAGCGCAAACAATAGACATCCATATAGGAGTGGGACAGAACAGGTTTAGAGGTTGTAAGCTATTTACCAGTTGAATCAGAGCTTTAGAGCTTCTGTCAAGAAGCAAATGAGCATTTTATATGCTGCCTGTGCTGAGAACACTATTGGATTATATACAGTACCTATCCTGCAAAGAAAATGAATAAAATGAATAAAATGCACATATAGACTTTATATATATACTATTTTGAGAGGGTTAGGGTTAGGGTTATGGTTATAAAATATGAAAAAGGGCTCAAGTACAGGTATGTCGTATTTATATAAGATGTATTCTAAGCTACAATAATCCACCTGCAGATATTTGACAATATGTTGCAAATAAAAAAAATATATAATTTGAAAATCTCACAGTGTCCAAAATACAGTACTAGCAGTCTATTTCAAAATTTTGTAAAATATGTTTTTAAGCATGTGGCTTTCACAAGAAACAAAAACTGATTAATATGGGTCAACAAACTCGAGCCACTAACTCACAAATGTTCGAGCCTGCCTGCTTGCTTTGTTCACTATGATAACCAACACAATCATAATCATTCAAGTGACAGAATTACAACATTAAAACAAAACATTTCCATTCAGGCTAACAATCTTGCTGCTTCCTGTTGAAGTGGCCTCCAGCAGAAACATGTTTTCCTGACTTTCTATCCAATGATGAAAGGCTTCCAGGAATGGTTAGTGTTCTGTAAGTACTACAGAAATCACTTGGGTGTGACTCACTAGCAGCCATCGAGCTGTTTTCCTCTGGATTCCTGTGTTTTATGGCGGCGGACAGCAGTGCGCCGAGAGAGCTTTCCCATCAATAACCTCTAACTGCTTAGTGGCTTAACTCTTGTCTGGTCAATGCTGGATTGAAGAGAAACTGGAAGGGATGAGGCAGTACTCTATACATCAGTAGATTGTGGATACACTCATGGGGAATCAGATTTATGGCGGGTCAGTCAGTGGGGGTCATACACATTTTTAATCTACAGGGTAACTTCAATAATTTACCTGTAAATTTCACATTTTGAAGAAAAAAACTACAGTATATATTTACCTCAGAATATGTTTAACATGTTTTTACCATGTAAGAAAATGCATAATTGCCTTTGTACATGGAGATAACATACAAGTATATACAATATATGCTGTATATATAGATATTGGTTTCATTTCATATCCATATAAACTCAGTTTTAAACATTTTCACCCAGTATCCCAGAAAGTACCAGCTACTTCCCTGAGGTTTCCTCTTTTCTAAATCAAATATAAATTAGAGCATGAAATATGAAATAACATCCAAAAAGTGATGAGAAATCAAAATGGCAGACCATGTATTTTCCTTAAATGGATTAAAAGAACTCTAAACTTGTTAGTCCTGGTATGAAGTTAAAATGTAATTTTGTTCTCATTATTTTTGAAGGGCATCATATGTACAGTGGAGGCACAATGGAAATGTTTTTTATTTCACAGGATTTGCTGCCCTCAGGTGGTTAAAGTTAGACCCCACAACTGAACATTTGGACCAAAGTTGCCCTATTTTGTGTAACAGTCTACTATTTGAGGATAGTAGGCAGATGAAAATCTTTAAGATGGACATATGACATTGTATGATAAGCCTCTAATGGACAAATAACAATATGTCACATAATTAATCTAAAAATTTTAAATCTTCCATGTACACCGATGCAGCCCCATATGCAACAAACTGTGATGCAGTTGGGTTGGACCAGCCAGCCTTCATTCCCCATGACTCTGATGCCAGTTCACTGCTTTTCCTTCCTTGGATTACTTTTGATAGGTACTGACAACTGAAAACCGGAAACACCCTACAAGAGCTGCAGTTTTGGAGATGCTCTGACCAGTCGTCTAGCTTCACAATTTGGCGCCTTGGTCAAAGTTCCAAATCCTCACGGCTGCCCATTTTTCCTGCTTCTAACACAGGGAGGAACAAAATGTTCACTTGCTGCTTAACTATATCCCACCCACTGACCAGGATGCCATGATAACAAGATAATGACTTCAGCTGTCAGTAGTCAGAATGCTATAGCTTATTGGTGTTGGAAGTTGGAAATTAATTAATTTTTATTTAGCAAACTTTTATTCTGATGCATCTTAAGTGAATCTTTCCATGTGTTTCATTACATTACTGTAAAACTTTTTTTCTATGCCACCTGCACCTCACCTTTTATATTTTATGTCAGTTAATTCTGCAATTTAAGAACAAGGCGTGTAGCTATTGTCAACACACATCAGTAAAATATCCTAAACTCAACAAAAACATCAGTTTAGTGCATACATAACATTGTATACTGGAAAGCATAACATTAGTGTGGTTCAATTCCTTTGCCGCCCTCTGCTGACTCAAAGTGGGTGGATGTATAATTGGCAGGATTCAATACTTTCTAGAATAGCATGCTCTGATATCTTAGTGGAAATTCAGAGAAGTGGCCTGCAATACACCTGTGGCTACAGAAGAGACACTTTATTTGTCATGATTTTATTTATTCTATTCTTTGCAGGGTTTTATAGACTGGACAAAATTACTATTACCGGTATGTGGACAAAAAGATTAAACAATGAAACTGTGTTTTAATTTATTTAAGTATAAAATTCGAGAAGTAATAAAACAACTTGAACAGCCTTTGACAAAACATAGTTAGCTATCAATTTTAAAATGTACACCAAAGTATAGCTAACACTCATTATGTAACAAAGAAAACCAAAAACTGTTAAAATGTTCATATTATTTAAAAAATACTAAAAGAGAAATATCACGTTATAAAGAAAAAAAACCAACAAACCCGTCTTATTACCAACAAAACACAAACCTAAATGAGCTATTATGTCTTTCTCGAAAATAAACAATAAAACCCAATTTATCTTTTACTGAATACAGATATGTGTAGCTTTCAATATGAACTAGTGCAAGTGTTATTTACTGATGTCCCTGTAGTGAAATGCTGGTAAACTCTGAGTTAAGCTTTGGTGTATTTTTAGTGGTTTTTTGCAGTTTTTTGCAGACATTTCATCAAGCAGAAGTCCCTCCACGTGTCTGCAAAGGAAAAAAAGAATATATTCACTTTCACAACTAAAAAACACATAGTTTCATATCACACACACAACCTAATGGTTAACTTATTAACTTGCTCTGGATTAAGTAACTTTCATACAGCATACTATTGAGAAGATTACGAGCATTTTACAACTCACCATGGACTTCATCTCCCGTTTATCTCCATCTCCTGATTTGTCCCAACCCATTTTCTTACTGTTCTCAACAAATTCCTGGAAAGGGAAAGACAGAGTTATAGTTAAGTTTGTTTTTACACTAATTTGTATATTGTTAAGTCCTAATGCTTTCTGATTGAGGAGTTTTTTTCCTACAAATTGCCTCATATTCATGCAACAATTTATACAAATTGCCCCCAGAGGGTCTCTTTACAAGATTCACTAGGATTATATGACAAAGGAGGTTTTTCCACTAAGCTCTAGATTTGAAATACGGGCAGTTTTTCATAGTGAAGGTAGCTTGAAGCATTTAAAAAATCCAGCACACTGCACAACAAACACAAAGCAATACCAATACCAAGTGAGTGGTTTGACATGAAGTTAAAGTCTTAAAAACGTTCACTGACTAATATGAGAAGGGGCAGTCAAGGGGATGTGACAATCACAGAGATATTAGATAAGAACATATTATAGTCTATAGTAAGTGATGTTGCACTGTTGGGTGGAAAAGATGATAATACTGTACAGCAACCTGCATAAACACCTTGAGGCAGCTGTAGCAGTGAGAGGATTATTTCAAATGTAAAAATTGCTGTGCCAATATATGAAATCATAGAATAAAAAAAACAATATAGTATAGTATAATAATATAGTGAATACAATATTAATTAGTTTTTTAAGTTATTATTATGTATTATATATGAGATTTAAAACATTATTATAGCAGCAAACAACAATAGTACCTAGATTTGTGCTGGTGCTCTAGTGTGACATCTAGTGGCAAGTGAATTTTGTATATCACCTTTAACAAATTCTGGTATCACAATTAAACTCAAAATCTTATTGTGTATTTCCCTGTGAAGAAAGACTGACTCTGCACATGACCTGTATGACAAGTCTGGACCACTTGTATTTTATTTGTACCTAATTTTAAGTCCTTGTTAGGAATAAATCGGTTTGTGTGAGAGGTTATTGTATGAGGCCCAATGAGCAGCCAAAAGCACAAAATGCTTCAAAAACACCAATCACTGGGGCAGAAAAACAACATCATTATCCCCTTCATACACACGATCCTCTCACCATTAAGGCCTTGTCCATGTAGTACTCGCGTCCAGGGCTGCCATCATTATATTTTGAATCCACAGCGAAGCAGAGGAAGAGAACGTCGACCACATTTTCAAAGACGGAAAGGAAGCAGTGAGCCACCAGGAAGGCAAACAGACAGACGATGAGGAGAGGCAGGACCCACACTGTGTATTCCCTCTGGTAGTTCAAAGCCAGGACGCCGGCAAAAGCTGTGCAGGAGACTATGAGCACCTGAGAGTGTAGATGTAAGAGTTAGAAAACATTATAGCGCCTTTGGGAGAATCTCACATAAAAAAAAAACTCCATATGTCTCTGTGTTGTACCTTTCCCAAGAAGAGAACAAAGTCGCCCACAGTGTTGATGGCGGCCACTCGGAGGGCATTCTCCACCAGGATGAGTAAAGCGTCACGGGCAGAGGTGCAAAAATTGGTGCTGTTGATGGCTGTCGCAGTGTAAGCATTCTGAAATAATGCAATACAGACATTAACACTGTAAATACTTGGGATCTTGTTTCAGCTGTACAGTATACTAGATTTTCTTTAACCAACCTGAAACAACTTACTTGATTTAGGTATGTGAGACACTTCTCGAGACACCACAAACAGCAGACACAAGCTTTCAGCATGCAACGAGCACAGGCGTTTTCCTATGAAATGCGAAGACATTCACAGGTTAAAAAACCTCATCAAAATGCATTTATTAAAAAGTACTGATTATTGACAATTGCAGGCTCAATTTGAGGCCATGAGTTTGTAAAATTTTTAAATAAAATCTGGATAATTTCACAGCTCACCTTTCCTTTGAGTTGGCTGTGGATATATGTCAAGATGAGACGAGGGATCTTAACAAGCGTGATGATGAAGGAGCCTTTGGCCAGAGTACCCAGATGGTAGCGGACGGTACGTGCCATGGAGGAGAGGATGGGAGTAGCTGGCATCTGGGACTTATTCCTTAAGATAGAGGGAGAGGACGTGATTGAAATTCTATAACCTAAAAACTGAATTGTCAAATAAAGATGCCAAAAAAGACAACATTAAGCCTACCATGGGATAAAATACAAATGAGTTTCTTGTACTTACCTCGTGAAGTAGTAGGTGACGACGGCGCCAGCGATGGTCATCTGTTGGAAGGCAAGAATGAACTCACTGATCCAGATGAGACCCACAGCATGGTACCACACCAAGTACTGGAGAGGCCCTTGCATTTCGTATTCAACCACACCTGTTGAGTTGTTCTTTATCGGTGTCCCTGTGAGAAAATAGTAGAGTGAGTCAGTGTCATTTTACATGAGAGCTTAAACGTTTACATCTACTGTGCGTCCCTCTATATTCATCAGCATGCTACCTGGACACTAGTGCAGTATATTGTACCGGTCTGACTTTTACTTGTAATCAATGTATGACTGCATCAAGCAACTTAGCTGGCTGACTACCTTGTCACCACTGTTCTCTACTCTCCTCTTATCATTTGGTATTGTTTTGTTGTCATTTGTTTGTTTTGAAAACAATTCCTAAATTAACTTGGGGCCAAGTGTATGAAATGCACGTTATGCCAGATTTTATAAATTCACTCCTTGTAAGTTCATTTTCTCGTAATCAACATTATTTAACATCTTCTCTTCATAATATTTTTTACTTCTTAGAAATGTCTCAAGAAAACCTCATTATATGGTATATTTCAATAAAAGTATATTATGATGAGATTCACAGTACTCTGAGTTTTTAAATTTCACTGCAATTGTACCTACAATCATTGCTATGATTCCCTACATTTACATATTTACCACAACACAACCCAAAAATAGTAATCATAAAGCAAGGCGATGTGATTATTCGACTTTGTGTTGGTAAATACTACTTTGTTGGAATTAAAAATCAACTGTAGAAAACAGAAGTGGGAGATGAAAAGAGAAGTTGTTCTTTGACTCCATCTCCCACATCACGAGACTGGCACAAAATTCCAAATGTGGGAGTTTAGTCATGCCCCGAAACTGAGACAAAATGTCACAAGTAACAGACTTAATATTCCACTTGTTTGGGAATGGTACCACTAACATGCCTGATGCTTGAATCTTGAATTTCCCTCAGGATAAATAAAGTTATATCTATCTATCTATGCTAGAAACTAGTCCGTGTAATGCACTGACAATGAAAACTATGTTTTGAATCTGACAAAAACCCACAAGAATGAACTACCAGTGCTGGAGCCTTTGTCCTCACCTGAAGTCCCAAGAAAGAGAAGCACAGCGATCCAGTAGACCCAGAACAACATGAGGCAGAGGAAGGTCCACACAGGTTGCAGTACTAGCAGAGGAAGGTGGATGAACACTTTACCAGCCACATGGAACAGGGAGATGGTGAGAGCCACTCGCTTCCTCATGAAGAACATCACTATCAAGAGAATTACCTGGAGGATTACACAAAGACTAGTGAGCAAGTGAAATCACAGAAATGAGCTATGGAGTTGGGGAATTAAATTTAAACACAGAAACCTTTCCTGTCATATCAGGAAACAAAAAGACACACATCTAAAAAAAAACATGCATTGCTCTCTGGTGATAGAAGATATCACCAAATGCACACACACACATGCATTCAGACATACCGTGAAAATTGTAGCACCAATTGCATACACAAGCAGGGCTGTAACATTGTCAGAAGCCACTTCTTTCCCAAATACTGATACGGTGTTATTATCAAGGGCTTTCCTATGGTCCGCATAGAGCCACCAGAGGACGCCTGTCCCACCTGCAAAACATCAAAGCAGAAAAGAGTTTAAGTATAACTTCGGCATAATGCTTTTGAGGGTACCAGAATAGAACATGAGTATCTTTTAAAATGTTGAAATTAATAAGGTTTATGTAGGTGGATAGGTATAGGAGAGCTAGAACATGTATGTTGCTTTTGAAAGTTACCTATAGAGCCGATGATTACCAGGACTGTTAGAATCCACACCAGTACTTTGGAGATGTACCGGATGACAACCATCATGATCAGGGACAGAACTGAGAAAAAACACAGCATATTATATGAATATATAAAACACAGCAAACATGGAAATAGTTACATCATGAAAAGTGCTGCTTTTATGGAATTTATTCATTAAGGTTTGATAAAATATCGCTTTATCTTAAATACAAATAAAACACACTGAACTAAGTAATTAAGCAATGGGTTTGTATTTAATTTACATAGTAAGTAAATGAGGAAAGCCCAAACATCCTGTCCCCTGCTATGACTTATTTAGCCTTGACAATAAATTCAAACAAACCAGACAGATATTTATCTTAAATAATTGAGATAAAAGATGCCTAAATCTGAACCAAAGGGAGGAGTTAGGGCAGACGTTAACTGCATGACTGTGGGCTGAACTTTAGTGGATACAATGGCTGTAACCACTCAGACATTTCCTGTTATTTTAATGACAAAAATAGCTTCCCCTTCCGAAAGTTGCCTTCCTACTGAATCCTCATGAGCAATTACGGTTGTGCAGTGGGAGCAGCAGAAAATAAAAAAAACATACCAGTACTTTTTTTTTTTTCATCGGATAAAAACAACTCATTATTTGCCAAAAATATCCACATGAATTATTGCGAGCCAGATGTAACCATGTGTTATACCTAAAGCCAGCACACAAAGGCCCATGATAATCTCTTTGCTGGCCATCACCCCTGCGACGACCCGGCGTAGCACAGTGTTGTCACTGACGAATGTGACAAATGCCTGAGCAAATTCAGCATAGCAAGTGATATCCATAGGAATACAGCGGTGGAAAACAGGGACAGCCTTACTGCAAACATGAAGACAATGAAGAACATGGATTCATTTATTTTGAATGGATAGTTTTTGAAGCAGAGGACTGTGGACTGTGGCAGACTATTTTATAGTTATCATATTTATTTGGTCCCATTTCATCCTGGAACTTACTATTACCCAAGTAAATAATAATAATAATACATTTTCAAAAATATAGCTATACTAAAAAGATACAAGTTACCCCTATAATAACCAGAGATATACACATAGTCTGATTTTAAACATACTGTATCTACAAAACATAACAATAACGGTGTTAAAAAACAGTAGAAAAATAGTCAACATAATCTCGTCCAGAGTTTAAAGGATATGCTTGAATACCTTGGAGGAACAGGGAGTTTGGGACATTTTGTGAATCTTTCCGAATGGCTTGTGTATTTTGTCTGATAAATATCATAGGAGCAGAGATGAGATCCTATCAACAAGAAAACCAAAAATTAGATTTCATGTTATTTTTTCATTAAAACTATTAATAATATTAATATCTGCCTGCAAGCAATTGTAATGGCATTCAGCGTATATGCCCTTCATAACTTTTTAATCAAACACCACTTTATAAATCAAACAGTGATCAGAAATACATATAGATATTATGAAACTGAGTTCATACACTGGACCACATGTTCTTACCATTATTTAGTGCAAACTGTTTTACATCTTGGTATGTCTTCAGTTCAGTAGAGGGACATTTGGAGACACATAGGGCAATGGACTTTATCTTCCTGTTAATTAAATCAAGGTTGCAAGGGTCTAGAAAGAAAACATACCTGATAAGAAGAAAGAAATGAGAAATTCAGGTTAGCTATTCAATATAAAGTGCTGCCACAACCTCCCCTCCAAAATAAGAAACTGTTTTCCTTTGAACAGAATATACATATATTTGGTTGTTACTATGACAGCTGGGACTGTTCTGTCTGGGCCAGAAAACGAAAGATGGTGACATTTGCTACTCTGCCGCACAGACCCTTCTTTGTAGCAAAAAACGCCTTTTATTCAAAGCCTCCATGGGCAATCAGCCCATCAATAAAGCATGACCCATTGTCTCAGTAAAACTGGGCCTACGGGCTGCATGCTGATGGAAAGCTACGGCCCAAAAAGAGGACCATCATCGAAGACTTCTCACATTAATTATGACAAGAGGAGAATTTGTGAAAATTCTGTCCTGGTGATAAAATGATCACTTTCTCGAGAATTTATAAAAAAGGGAGATACGCTGTGAAACTATGCTGTTTATTTAAATATGTGAAGAACTCAGGCAGCAGAACACAGTGCGAGTGTAGCTTTGTGTTGGCGATATTAATCTACATTAACCTTCTGCCTGATGACATCTTTTTCTATTCACTTTATGCAAATTAAGTTTCTCAGACAGACCAAAACACTTTTTTTCCCCCATTTTTCTTAACACGACACTTAGGTGATGATCTGGAAAGCTTAACCTGTCAACTTTGTAAGCCAAAACAGGAGGTAAACCGAAGTGTTTAAAAATGCAGCAACCGCTTGTTTGTGGCAAATTAGATTAGGATTACATGATGCAATCCTTGCATGCACACAAGTAATGCTGAATGCCTTCCTTCCCTGCCACCAGCAATCAACTACAGAGGGCAAAAGAGGTCCCAACATGTCTACTTTAATGTCCTGGGCATATATAACTAAATCTGGAAAACAGAGATAATTAGAATACTTCCCTAGGACAGCAGGGATTTGATGCAATATATTCAACAAAAGAACAAGATGCATTTTATGTAAATAACACATGTGTTGATTAAGTTTGTCATGTGTAAAAAAAAAAATGACTTACTTGTTTTCTCTCATGTCCCGGCCGCTGAGGGGTACTCCCTCTATCTTTGTGTTATTCTGACCACAGGTGTTGCCATAACTGTCATATCCTGAGATAAGCCTGGAGGCAGCTCCTGTGGCGATGGGAAAGCCACAAATACATGCCTGCAAATGAAAAAGAGGATAGTAGATAACTATTTGCAGGCTAACATGAAAGACAAAAATATTTAAGACTTTAATAACTGTATAGCACCTTGCAGTCACCTTTAATAGGTTATTTTAGATGAAACTGTGAATCAAAACATGATATTTAAACTGAGATGTTTGTAACCGGAACGTTGGTTCAACAGCAACTAAGACTCACAGTTTTAGTAATTTTGGAGGATTTAGTTTGTGGTGCTGTTCAATTGAATCACACTAACAGCTATTTTCCAATTATGTGTCCACTAACTAACTTATGTGGCACCACAAACTACAGCCTGCAACACCTCTCTGAATCAGTACCAACCAAACCTGCATGTATTGCAGGGCTGTTATACAAAAAGGTTAGCAACTG